TGGGATTAGGGACTCCATCCCATAGAAAACTAACTAGCAAAAATCGTTAATAAAAGTAAAATCTGATAATAAATATTAAAATTGTGCGTCTTATATTCTATATATTTGTAACATAAGTGTGGTGTGTACTGCTGACTGATATCTTCAGATATAAGTAGTATGTATCATCAGTCGAAAGTGAAATGTCTGGAGGCAGAAGGTTAAGAAGATCAACAAAAAGAGAATGAGAACAAAGAATGATTTCTGTAGAAACGGAAGAACAATGAGAAGAGAAGTATCCTTGCAGTTACCGCTACGTCTCATTTCAGAGCCTCTACTGGAATGTTGTCTGATCCTGCTGCTTTGCCACTCTTGATTTTTCTGATGGCCATGCTGATCTCTTCAATTGTTGGTTAACCAACATTTATTAGGGGGTCCGTGTGTGCTACTTCGATGTTGGGTGGGTTCATTGTGGCTGGTAGATTCAAGAGTTCTTTGAAGTGTCCTACCCACCTTTTTCGCTGTCCTTCAATGTTGATGATTACTTTGCTTTACTTGCTTTTCACTGTTCGTTCTGGTTTGAGGCGATTTCCAGAGAGTTTCTTTGTCGTGTCATAGAGTTGTCTCATGTTTTCTTCTGTTGCAGCCTTTTCCACTGTCATTACTAAATCTTCCACATATTTACGTTTGTCATTTCTGATGCTCTCCTTTACTTGCTTGTTTACTTCTGTGTATTCAGCTTGTGCCTTGACTTTTTCTGCTCTTGTTCGTCTGACACTGATTGCTGCCTTCTTGTTCCACTTTTCTTGAATCTTATCCATTGTATCAACAGTGATCTATTCCTTGTGATGGTGCTTCTTATGGCCTAGAATCTCGTGACATGTTGAAGCGATTGCTTAGTTTATCCCTTTCCATTTGCTCTCCATAGTAGTTTCCACTTCATTGAGTAGATGGTGAAAGGCCTGGGACCTATTACCAGAGGTTCTCCTGAATTCATTCGCTTTGTCAGTATCCTGAAGGAAAGTAGTATTAAACGTTTGTGATGTTGTCCACTCCATTTGTCCAGTGCTTCTTAAGTCTCAATTTCATCTTGGCGACCTGCAGGTGATCATATAATGTTATGTCAGCTCCTCTCTTGGCTCCCGCATCTTTCATCTTCTTTCTGAACTTTTCTTGATGCACATATGGTCAATTTAGTTCTGTGTAGTATTATCCGGTGAATTCCATGTGGCTTTGTGTATGCATTTATGTAGGAATGTAGTGCTCCTTATGACCAGTTTATTGAAGGCACATAGGTTTTCAAATCTCTCACCACTTTTGTTCTTTCTGTGATAGTCCATGTCGTTCCACAATGTCTTCTTATCCAGAGTTGTCCACTCAAACTTTGGCCCTTTAGTTCTCCCATCACAATAGTCAAGTCCTTTGTTGGACATTTCCCAACGACTGACTGAAGCCTATAATAGAACTGATTCTTAACGTCTTCACTGTATTCGTTGGTAGGGTGACGTTCACTCTTTCTTTGTTTTAAAGGAGGCTTTGTTGAGACTGGTTACATGAGATTCCTATTCAATAAGTGCTTTTTGTGCTTGTTTGAATAGCATCACTCCAACTCTTTGTGTATGTGTAGCATTTTCTTCTTCATGGCCGGAGTATGACAGTGGCTCTTCTGAAGATGGACTTTATTGTCAAACCTGTGTCCAATGTGTTTCACGTTTACTAAGCACCTTCAGGTTGTATCTTTTCTTTTCTGCAGCAACTTCAAGAACTCTCATGGTCTCCCATATTTTACGAATAGTCCATGTACCTAAATTAATGATTGCTCTGCTTGTCAGAATGGACATCAGCTTCGTAACTTCCGAATGGCTTTCATCATTAAACGTCACGACTTCTCTAAATGAATACCTTCTAAATTTCAGGGCAGATTTTAAATGTTTTGAATTATTTCTGCTTGTGAGCGTTTTTCTAGAGGTTCGTTGAGATCTTTCCTATAGTATGCATGGTTCAAAGCCTATCCTGCAGTGTATAATCAAAGACTGTCCCACTTCTTAGCTGACTATCCCTAAAGGGTGCGATATTGAATAGAACCAGGGACTAATATCTGGTGGCTGCGTCTTTTGGGGTTTCGTATAAGATGGCCTGTGTATATACTATTGCTTCCTAAAGTAGCCAACTGTAGTGGCATTGGGCCCTAATACGAGACAATGTGGGAAATAGACATTCAACATTTAACACGGAGAAAAGTTCAACGATGAAGAGGGCTGGAAGAATGAATTGAATTAATTGGCATGACTCGACCATGCAGGCGTGGTCCCTGCTGAATGTTACCTTACATCTTTTATTCACAACCACTAATCCTTCCCTCCACTTGTGTTCTGTATTTTTGGAGTGGCTCGTGATTCCTTGAATAAATTCGTCGAATTCGCCATGTGATCCGTCCGTCATACGGTTCTCGTAGTCAGCTTTTCGAGTGTTACCGTTTTCGTCATACTTGTGAATATGACTGTATTTCCATTATCCAAAGAGTCACGAACACACACAAAAACCGTGCACAATATTCTCTGAGCCCTTTTCTCTAGTCCATCCTCGAATGTTTTACGAGCCTAGAGTTTGATATATAGATTATTTATTAACAATCATTTCCAGCATCGAGAACAAAACTAAACGTCTGTGTAGTTATAGTTTATGTCCAATATGTCGAATCATCTAATCCCACAATAGAGGTAGGCGTGAAATTGAAATTTGCAAAACAGCGATTTGTTCAAAAAGCGATTATATACTGAATAATATGGATAAATTGGCTATAAACCTGAAATTATGAAATATGTGTGGCACCTTGAGCGTCTGTCAGTCTGGAATAAAAAACTCCGTTCAATAATAAAGAATAATTAAAACGTATGATAGCTGCAAAAGCGGGACCACGAGTACGCTATAGAGGAATCATTGGGTTCAAACAAGTATTAGACGATGATACAAAATTGAAAATAACTGTTACAGGATTTGAAAAAAGTGATTACAATGAAGGCCGCAATAAATGTTATGAGTTTATGTAGATATTTTTGAGTGTTAAGCGATCAACTTACGTATATGCGTATAAATTGCTAGGAATGCGACTGTTTACTGATTATAATTGAGTAGTATGAAACAGGGCACATAATTATTGGAGGGGCGGGAATAAGGACAGAGAACGTAGACAGACATATTAGTGCACATGCCGATGAAAATACCATCACTGTAAACCTTATTTGAATAATGGAAGAAACACGTATGGAATAGTTTTAAAGTGATGAGTGCGCCGAGAAAATCGTGAGTTTGGAGGAGCAACCAACAAGTGCTGACAGTTTAACATCAGTTTTAAACCCATTGAGAACCTGGAAGCATTGAACGGTTATTTCATCCTGGCATAAGACTCCTCAACAGTGCGCGTTCACAACATCGCACGCGCGATTCTTACCCAGTACCATCGACGTCGCGCGTGACCGTTTAATCTCTAGGTCATTGATCTGGTATCCAACAGTGTCACTGTCTAACATCAGCCAATCCACGATGTTGCGCGACCGTCCTTCATTATCTTCATTGAACAACCATCATACACCAAACCCATAAAGAGGAAATGCGTTCGAACCCCGGGTGTGGAATCGTGGATGCGCAATGCTGAGGCATCCCATATTAGGAAGAAACGGCGTTTAGTGTTTTTAGGCATTCAGTGGTGGTTTGATATTGATCGATTCATGCTGTCAATCAAAACGCTACAATTTCCATGACCCTATGCTGACCATTTACCGCGGGGTAATCAGCTGACATTGGAAACCGTCCGCGAGCAGGCGACATTGAGTGACAGTGGTCGAGATAGAACTAGTAGAAACATATTTGTATAATACTAAACCATCCTATACTTTGCGAAAGTGACATTATAGCCAAACACACGATAAAGTTTATCATAATTTATCCCTTCAGGAGCAAGAAAACTGTCGACTAATACTAGACAATGTTGAATCTCGAAGGGTGTTCAATAAGGTTTCATAATTAGGCAAAAGAATATACTGCGTAAATTAGGTTCCGAACATTTGTCTTCGGTGTGACTTATAGCATGGCATATACAGCTGGTCTTACTGATCACTGGATTTCAAGGACGGGTCAAGAATGACCTGAGCTCCCACAGAATAGTACTGTTAATCCATATACTGTCGAAATTGTTGAAAAGCTTAGTGTGCGCTTACGTGAGACGTGTGAAGACGGTCCATGTGTGAATTTAAGGCAGTTCTAAGAACCGGAGAAAAAGCTGAAGATATTCCTACTAATCATTCTTTGGTAGATTATTCCAGAATCTCGACGAGTAGCTTACGTAATGAAAACCCCCTCTATGCCGATCGAATGACTACAATGGCGATTTTGCTTTTACTAATATCTATAAATACCTGAAACTTTTGAAACACATTCGCCAATGTTTAAAATAGCATGCCTCTTACTTGTCTTCTGTCTTCTCGTTTGCGACTTGAGGAGTTCTAGAGTTCTAGTGCTCAAGAGTTTAACTTCTAGATATGACAAGACATGCTACTGAAAACCACGCATTCAGCATTGACCTATCAAATTCAGTGTCCCCCTCTTTTATATCTGATAAGTTATTCTAATACCTTTAACAGCACATCATAAACCATTTCGTTGCTTTAGTATTCGAGAATCGCTTTATTTTTACACATTCGTTCAAACATAATTTGGTAAATCGACCGTTTGTTCTTTTTCCGAAATTTTGGTTATGTCATCACTTCGTTGCACATAATTAGAAAATTTCTGTTTTAGGTGGTGTCTGACAGTTGTAGCAACCCTACGTTTCTGGAATAAACAATTAGTTGTGACAAAATTATGTGAACTTACAAATAACAATTCAGTTCACTGAGAATGGTAAAGTTTTTCTTCTTAGTTACGTTGCTTGACAATGGAAAAACCCGGAATAAATTTTTTGCACGATGATAAGAGTGCATATATATATTGGATGTTAAATTGCTTAAAATACTTCGTTCACATTTTTATTAAACACACGCTCACAATTCGATTTCTTCAAGGTCAACCGGTCGAAAATACCTCTCGAAGTACTTTTTTGCCCATTGTGTATGTCATACTGATATGATGATACTATGACAACATAGTGAAAAGAAATTTATAATACTTGCACAATATTCTTATATAGTTCATAGAGCCTAGATCTGTAAACTTTTATGGTGAAAAGATGTTATAACACAACCATATATGGTTGCCTAAATATATAAGCTATAAAATCTCGCAAAATGAAGTAGAAATTGACGGCTAGTGTCCTGGAGGGTCACGTTATTAGGGTCCTGTAACACTATTTAGGCGCGAAAATACACTTCGTATTCCACAACACGTTATTATAACGTGACCATAAACTAAATTCAACATACATGTAGCGTTAATCCGTGTGTTTTTCCAGTTATCTGCCAGTACAGCTTGTCTCATTCAGTCGCTTAATTTTTTCTTTATTCACTGTCCCACACATTGAGTCCTACGTCGCAGTACTGCTCCATAATGTGAGATTAACAAATGTTGGATTGGCGAAGTTATACATCATTACATGAAAAAGAGTTTGTCCTGTTGTTTGTTTGTTCTTAACCAATATTGGTTCTAGAATTATTGACTAAAACTGTCTGTTTACAGTGATTAGTCATCAGCTACGTTAAGCTTGTAAGTTGTAATATGTCAGGAATATGCGTACAATTGTTGATCAGTATAAAGTTAACATTTCTATTTTCAACCCATGAATACATAGTTTTCAACGGCTTGACGTTTAGATACGTTGCCAACGTATGTTAGGAAAATGATCAGTGTTATCATTTCTTAGTTCTTTACTTTCTACTAACCACTCAATTTTTCGACATTTACTATTAGTGTCTCTTTAACATCCTATTCATATTTAGGATGTGAGCCTTTCGGATAAACTGGTTTGAGTAACCAAAGTACTCATGCTTATATTTTTTACTTTCATTTCGTTCGAGACGTTCTTGAATGCTGTCTTCAATTAGGTATGATAATTGTTTAAATTTCTCATGGATTATTTTTACTATGAACCACCTACACCTTGAACATTATGGGATTTTCTTAGTTTCTGTAAAAAATATATAAGCTCAGTTCAAATATCAGGGAGATCATATTTACTAGTTTTTGGTAGTATTGCTTTCTTTGAGCTAAATGGTTTAACTAGTTGACTTTCGTTATGTATGAGAAAAGTGAAAGTCCACTTTGTATAGTGTAGCACATCTTGCAATTGATATACCTTATTTTCTGTTCCTTTCTCTTTCGTATTTCTGTCTGCATAAGATAAAATTTAGTGATTGTATTACTGCATGAGTATTTATCATGTACAACATCAGTTTATCATTTGATTTCCAAAAGTGCTTTCGTAACAGTATGTCATTTTTCTAGACATCTTTTGGTAAAGTTGTGCGACTAGCCATTTTTGTAGGCTGTAGACATAAAAGGTGGTGAGACTATGATTTATGGACCTGTTATCCATGTTGAAATAATCTTGAGATCCAACCACTCACTAAACTCAGAAGCGGGTTATGTATTATTGTGAGGGAACTGGGTTAGGATTCGGAGTTGGAAAATACGGTTTGTAATTTGAGTTAAGGTTTTCATGAACTGAGATCAGCTCTAATGCGGGATACTGTCTAACCATATAGTTGATTTATTCTTGCGCCAAAATCCAACACTTGCTAACTTAAATCTGACTGGTTCGTGCATATATTATAATCGCGCTTATGACAACATTTTGTATTTTGTATTAACAGTGTTTCGATGAATTTAGACTCATCTTACTTGTTTCTTTAGTCGCTATCAACGTAGAGCTTGGGATAGATGTATATTACCCCAAGTCGCTATACAGCAATATCACAAGTTTAAAATAACCAGATGGATTGCAAAACATATCGAAATAATGTAGTTCCAATGATAATAGAAAAGAATAAATATTGATAAATCGTTTCGAAAAGGCAGTGGAAAGTAGTGTGTGGAGGAATATTAGGATTCAAGGTCGAGATGTGAGTACATCGGCTCCATTGTGACTGATTCTAACCCAAGTTACACAGCTGCAACCAATAATCGTTGTTACGACACAGATCACAACCACATTCCACATCTAACAGCATGGCTCATACCAATAGCCAGTGACTTCGTGGACCAATACCATGCTCTCGTTCAATCACTCCTAGCTTCCTCCTGATCTACTTCTACACCAGAAGGCATTACCCATGGAGTTAAATGGTTTCTAAAAATGCGTAACATTTTGTATTCAATGTGGTTATCGCTGTCGTATCGTTGGATAGTGTAATACAGTTTTAATAACCTGACCAAAAGTATCACTTAAAATATTTATTTCATTTTTGTTTTCGTTTGCTACAGCTTGTAACTGTTTTCTTTTTTTTTCAAATCTTTCAGTTCCTTCTTAAACTACCATGTCATCAACATTGGATCATTTGAAAAAACATACTATTATCGTAGCGGACACTGGAGATTTTAATTGTATGTAATCAATTTTATGATTTAACAAAACAACTCTCATTTCCACTTTATTATTATTTACAGCTATTAAAAAGTTTTTACCAATTGATTCAACAACAAATCCATCTCTAATATTATCTGCATGCAAATTACCACAATATTCACACTTGTTAGATTCTGCTATTCAATATGCTAAGAAAGAAAAACAGTATGTTTATTTTCTAAAAAAAAAATAACAACCGTTTTTAGAACATTAAATGAGCAAATTGAATTAGGATTAGAAAGAATATTTGTATTATTCGGTTGTGAAATATTGAAAATTGTACCAGGACGTGTATCTACTGAAGTGGATGCTCGGTAACAAAACAACAATAACAATAATAATACTTATTTTATTTATTCTTATCTTCTTATATCTTTTTATAGTTATTCATTCAATGTACAAAAACAAATAGAAATAGCATGTCGTCTCATTTCAATGTATGAAGAATTAGGATTTTCTAAAGAACGTATACTTATTAAATTAAGTTCTACATGGGAAGGTATAAAAGCTGCAAAAATACTAGAATCACAATATGGTATTCATTGTAATTTAACATTAATGTTTTCATTTTATCAGGTAATTAAAACAAAATGATGGTATGACTTTAAAGTTATGCTTATTTTGTTGTAGCATTTTTATTTGTAAAATATTTTAGATTCTTTTATGAATTGATATTTTTACGTTTTTATTCATGAGGAAGTGAATTTTGTTTCTACTCTCTGCTCAAGAATATGTTCTATTCAGTTCTCTTTAACCAGTTCCTGCTTGGGTTTGGGCAACCGGGCAGTATCTCAGCTTTCACATAAATCGAATGATTTATGTGATGCTTATCTATTTGGTGCCTTCTTTGTACCAATGTTTATGTGTTTAGATAAATAAGTAACCAGTTACAGATAAGTTTAATAAATGATTCGGTTAACGTGATATATCAGCGGGTTTGTGAAACTTATTCGATTGAGATGGTTTAGATGCATTACATATTCTCAACCATTTACTACCGTAATGCATATGATGGAATGAAGGTAGATTGCAAGAAAATTGAATTCGGCCGAAGAAAAACTTTTTATCAGTCCATGAAGTCATTGATCAATAAATTCGGACTATCTAACTTAGATTTGCGTGAAAACCGCAGTCAGTGGGGGGGGGACGTTGCGTGATACGTTTAGTAAACAATCATGATGATATATACATTCACTCTTTATCTGACCCTTTGTCTTAAGCATTAAGTATTGTTTTTTTGTTCAACAAATTAATCTTGTCTTTTTGATGCATATCACTCACTACTTAATGATTCTGATTGTTGTTAATATCACTTATTCTGACTCGTACGGTATTCATTTCACTAATTTGATTTCGTTTTGCTAATATGGTATAACGGACTGAGTGTTATGATGAAAATAAACATTCAAAAAGAACGCACAGCAACTCTAACACATAGGAGAAAAACAAAAAAAATTTGGTGTTGCATGTTATACCTAGAAATAATGTGTATTTATGGATAGTCTTCTGGAAATCCTAGACTTGGATGTTGCGTCAATCGGAAATTGTCAAAAAGATTTACTTGATATGTAATACGTATATATGTGTTGAATGCATGCTCATAACCACTGAATGACTTATAGTATTGAAAAGTAATTAGATTTATACATCGTAGGCTACGTGGGGTGTTAATCATTGATGTTCATAATAAAAAATAGTAAGTCATTACATGTGTGAGAATGTCAATAAGATTCTGGGAAACATAAGACGATCTGTTTATAATTTTATTTATCAGGGTATGAAGAAGGATTCACTTCATTATACTTCTGTACATATAAATCAGTTTGAAAACATTTAATGATATAACAGTTTCTCTATAAATCATAGTAAAAGCCACGTAATTTCACTACTGACAATTTTAACTTTCCAAATATACAGTTTAGTAAAAGCATGTTCAAAAGTTTGTATAAATAAACCTTTCTTGTGCTTCTTTTCACATATCTGTCACGACTGATACATAAAAATTCATAAGTGTAATTAATGGTGACTTTGAAAAAAATGTTATCTACTGAAATTTATTAAATTGTTACATTTGCGAATTCAATCCTTATCGGATGGAAATAATTATCCACCTCCGATAATAGATGAAGGGTTGTGCAAGATCATAGATCGATAATACCGTTGGATGTCGATTTAATGGTCTAGAAGTTAGGCGTTCACGTGTGAGACCAAAGTTCCTGGGTTCAAGTTCCACGTGCAGGATCGTAAATCCCCACTTTTGAGGCATCCTATACTAGAACGAAACGGCCGTTCAATACTTCCAGGTTTTCAATGGTGGTTTAACTTAGATAGATTTATAAATTCAACTGTTGAAATCCTAACATTCATTGATACATAAACTGATCATAAAAATGCATTCAAAAAATATCTTTGGCTAGTACAAAAATTATGTTACTGGTCAACAAAAGGTTTGTGCTCAAATTTTCTAAATCTGAGATCGAAACATCGTCTACATATATATATGCATATTTGTATCGAGATGTATATGTACATAATTAGGTGTCAGTTTGTAGCGTCTAGTATTATATCCAACGGACATGGTTTATTCTAGCTTCCGGAAAGATGGATTTATTCATTCATGTTAATTCACATTTTTGACTCTGTTAATTATTCACTTATTAACTTTGACTGCTAGTATAGGAGGGTATATGTGTGCACTGCTTATCCTATTTATCACATGTCTCTAGCTTCCTTTTTTCGGACTATAAATATTGAGTCACGCTCACTCACCTTCTTCGCTTTTGCGTATCTTATTCTGAATATCTGTCTAGATAAACGAATGCTTGTAATAAATTTCTCCGAGACAACCCATTTTTGACTTCTTATTACAACCGTCATACATAGGGTTAGTCTAGGATTAAATGGAAGATTTATATTCATAACATATTTATACATTCATCCAAGTCAGAGTTAGATCAACTGATCACGAAAGGATCATTGATGTTCTTTTTTTTCTTTCGAGAGTGTTCCTTTTGTTTTATTTAACTCATATATTTTGAGAAATATATTGGAATAATTCATTTTTAAATGTATATTACTTTAAATTTAATAGGCTATAGCTTGTGCTCAAGCTAATGTTACATTAATTTCACCATTTGTTGGACGTGTACTAGATTGGTATATAACTAAATATGGTAAAAAAGAATATACTAGACATAATGATCCTGGTGTTCATTTGGTTACTCGTATTTATAATTACTATAAATCTCATGGTTATAAAACACAGGTGAGTTAATGAATTCTTTATTTTAAAATAATTATAAATATATATACAGATTAAGATGTTTTTTTTTTGAGCTAGTGAAGCTGTTCGATTCCTTAAAAATGATGTAGACAACTTGGGACTCGAACTTATAACTTACTAATCAAGGGTTAGATAAAGTTGTTGTGTAAAGCATTTTGTTCAAACTAAAGATAACGAAATCTCAGCACGGGTACAGAAGGCTCGACTAACTTTTGCCAACTTGCGTCATTTATGGCGTAGGCGAGGTATCCGTCTATCAACCAAAGGACGTATTTACTGCGCAGCAGTTCGTTCCGTCCTACTTTATGGCTGTGAAACATGGCCGGTAAAAGTAGAGGATATTCGTAGGTTACTAGTATTTGATCATAGGTGTCTTCGAAACATTGCTCGTATATCCTGGGACCATCGAGTAAGTAGCGCAGTTGTTAGGAAACGAGTAGTAGATGAGGATGGCAAATTAATTGATGAAGTAGTGAAACCTCATCAGTAGAGATGTCTGGGGCACGTGTTACATATGCCCAACCACCGACTGCCTCGACGTGCGATGTTCCATGGTGTAGGATTAGGTTTGAAGAAAGGTGTGGGCGGCCAGATCAAAACATGGCACAAATCCATGACTGACAAATGAACTGAGCCATGTTGGTAGGTGTAGACTACCTGATTGGATACCACGAGATGATAGCAACCGATGTTTAGAGACCCTGAATGACATGGCTCAAAATCGCTTGCAATGGTGTGAGCAGGTGCATCCATTCTTTGTGTTTTCCCAAATTCTAATGTTCTGAATTCTTCATGTCCCTGTTTTCCTCTTTACAAATTTATTTCACTGGACTATACTCCTTAAATAACATCTTCAAGCCCTAATTTTTTCGGTTGCTGCTTATACTCTTACTACCTCTACCACTACGGAATTTGAGTGGACAACTGCATCTCTGTGCTAATGTGGTGTAGCAACTCGAACTGATGTACGTACGTACGAAGTTCTACGTTGTTACTGACTGACTTAGATTAATCTCTAAAGCTTGTTAGGTTCTTGTTAAAATATGATGATCGTGAATTTAGTTTGATTTCAAACTGAACATCAGTAGATGTTCAGTTGTACCCCAGAAATAATATAAAAAGTAGAAAATCTTGAAAACAATAGAATAAAATATAATAATAGTGTTTGACACGAACGACCGTTGGAGGTGTCATCACCCTTTGATATGAAGACCTTTCAACTTTCAGGACAGAGTTTAAATGGTTTAAATGATCTCTGGTTGGAGTTTTATAGCAAGATTCTTATTTACGAGATGTCACTAACCGCATGCATAACCCTCCTCTTTTACTTGAGGCAGAATGAACGGCACATGTTCCATTTTATTTACATTTGCGCCAACTAGACAAAACCTATGGGATTCAGCTTAATCGTGAAGCACTAATTTGGTGCAATTGACTATGAGCCACATTGTTTTTGTAGGAGGAATGGCCAAATAGAAATAAGTGTAATGTACTTTTAATCTGAGTTCTGTTGAGTGGAAGCTAAGTGCCTAACTTAACTTGTTGTAGAAAACGTTATGATTCGTTCTCTGTTAAGAGATTTCTTTATTTTAAATAACAAATTTCGTTACAACCTGACATCAAGTGAAGTAAACATTAAAATCCCGTTAACACTTGATAGGTGTTTGATCGTAATTGGTTACTTGTCTTCAGTGTACACTCATAACGCATTCTCAATGTAGAACTCAGGATTTCCATATATCACAACAAGCACAATACCATTCAAACCACTGAAGTAAAACTCAAAGTTACATGTTTTTGAAGTTGTTCTTTTTTTGCAGCATTTAATGCATTCGGTTTTTTTAATTGTTTGTTTTTATTTTTTATTCCACACCACTGACTTTTTATCATAACCGTTGAGAACCAGAAAACACTTTGCAGATGCTTCATCCCTAATATGTGACTTATCAGTGGGGACTTGCAACCAGCTGTCAAACTTAAGGTCTTCAAACTTCATTTCAATCACTTAACATCTAGACTACTGAATATAACACCCACTGGTTTGCATTTCCAATCTTAATCAATTCGTGATTTTACACAGCTACAATTGGTTACCAGTGATAACAATTGTCTCACGACTTCTGGCTAGAATTACAAAAATTACCTGTAAAAATTAGTCACTACTTATTTATTTATTCATTTAAACAGATTAAGATTGATACAACGAGGCACCAAGTATATATGCGCTACACAAATCATTCGATTTGTGTGAGGGCTAGGATACTCCCCGGTTGCCCAAACTGAAGCAGGTGGTTTTCTTAGGGGATCACAGCCCGAACTTTTGACCTAGAGGTCTAATCCACAAGATAGTGTGGCAACGTTAGGAAATTCAGTCTAATGGTAGGCGATGACCAACAATAGGTTCTTACCTTCTCTGTTCCTTCATGATCTTGGAGCATATGTCCACCATTGGTTTGGAATCTCCGTATCCATCGATCCGGTTAAAGCACCGCACAATCACTTTCCGTCCTTTCAATTCCGTAAACATCGACCCAACCGCGAGAAGGCGATGAGTAGGACTTCCCTGACAGCGTCTGTATACATGTGGTCATGTGAGAGCACTTTGAAGGGGTGAGAGGACTTTCTCCACCCTCGACTGTACCAGGCATTTGTGTGTGAGTCACTACTGATGAACATAGGATTGATTTGTTTTTATTATGATAAGCTTTAAAGACTGGTATAGTTTTACATCATAGACTAACTTTGACTAACTAATGACTTCTTAATTAACATTAGGATTTAATTAGTTTATTTGAAGAAAATATAATAAATGGTACAATTTCTAATTAGGTTATGGTTATGCAATCCACAAATGCAATCAATTCTATTATGCATCTACGATTCGTTTAGATTAGTTCATGTTAGCTTAATAAACTTGCTATATATATATATATATATAGTAATAATAACTTTATTACTAGTAATCGATTAATTATCAGTAATATGTGCTAGTTATCCTTTTCTTTCGTTCATATTCAATATTTTGGCACCATAATCTAATCAATACTGTGTCGCACTTCGGTCAATATATCACAGTTATGAATGTTATCATTGTTTAATTAATTAGTATCTATTTGTGATACATTTCTTAGCTTCATATTTTTGTGTCAAGTATTTTCTATGTATTCAAAAGTATATGAATCCATTATGTATCAAACAATCAGTTTCAGTGATAACTTCTTCAATCTATACAATTATCAATCTTATGGAGATTAGTTTAATTTGTAGGTTATATTTGTTACAGATTGATCTTAGTTAAAGCTCAATTGAAAAACAAGGAGTAATTGATAGCTGTTTCTTCCTAATATAAATCTCTTCAACAATGCTCACTTAACACCCCACCATGAACTGAACCTTACTTACTTACACCTGTTACTCCTCGTGGATGAGCATAGGCCGCTCACCAGCATTCTCCATCTAACCCTGTCCTGGGTGTTCCTTCCCAGCTCTTTCTAGTTGTTATTCATCCCTTTCATATCTGCTTCTATTTCCCGACGTAATGTGTTCTTTGGCCTTCCTCTTCTCCACTTCACTTCAGCATTTCAAGTTAGCGCTTGTCTTGTGATGCAGTTTGGTGATTTCCTTCAGTCAGTCAGTCAGCTACAACGTAGGTCCAGGCACATATGTGCATCGGTCCAGGTTGCCATACCGCATCAGCACACAAGATGAACACCGGATTCATAGTAGTGGTTAGGTCAAAGGTGGTAATATATAAGAGAAAGATTGCATATAGAGATATAGTACAAGAAGAAAAAATTGGTTCGTAGAAAGAAAGGTATGAAGTGATTTTAATCTCTTAGTTTAAGGGAAGACAGGGAGTGTATACATTAATGCCATTGTGATCGATTATGAGCCATGTCACACAGAGTCTCCAACCATTGGTTACGGAAGTCACGCGGACCCCAACCAAGTAGTCTCAACTACCAACATGGCTCAGACTAGAAGTTAGTGTCTTCAAGCACTGATGCCACGTTTTGGTTTGGCCACCTCTAACTTTCTTCCAACCATCTCCAATACCAGATAGCATTGCACGTCGTGGTAATCGGTATTCAGGCATACGTAACACGTGGCCCAACCATCTCAGTCGATGAAGATTCATAACCTCATCAACTGATTTACCATCATTTCCTAATACCCTGCGTCTAACCTCACTATTAATTACCCTGTGATCCCAGCAGACGCCAGCAATATTTCTAAGGCGTCTGTGGTCGAATACTAGTAGCTTACGGGTGTCTTCTACTCTTAATGGCCATGTTTCGCTGCCGTAAAGTAAAACAGAACGAACTGACGCGCAGTATACTCGTCTTTTTATTGATAGACGGATATCTCGCCTTTGCCACAGGTGACGTAAGTTGGCAAAAGCCAAACGAGCTTTTCGAATCCGTGCTGAGATTTCGTCAGACACCAACCCATTAGGGCTGATCAGACTTCCAAGATAAGTGAAGTTGTCAACGCGTTCGACTACTTCACTCCCTATCCTTAGTTCAGGTGTTAACACAGACCAGTCCTGAAGCAACAACTTGCATTTAGAGGGAGAGAAGCGCATTCCAAACATTCTGGCATTGTTGTTCAGTGCTACCAGAAGACTCTGCATTTTGTCAGCGTCTTCACCAAACAGGACTATGTCACCTGTGTATTCTAAGTCGATAAGTGGACCTCCTGGATGGAGATCAATACCCGAGAACTCAGTCGACGAGAAAGTTATTTCCATCAGTAGATCTATGATGAAGTTAAACAAAAGTGGAGAAAGTGGACAGCCTTGACGGACACCACTTGAGGTTGCAAAAGTAGATGACAGTTCGCCATAAGCTCTGACTCGACTAGTAGTGTTCGAGTAAAGAGCCTTTACAAGGTTTATGTACTTCTGGGGTACGCCTTTCAATGACAGACACTGCCACAGAATCTCGCGGTCTACAGAGTCAAATGCTGCTTTTAAGTCAAGA